TCCAGGCGAATGGCGGAGCAAAACCCTAACAAACAGGTTATGGACCGCGCTCGATCTTTCCTACCTCTTCCGTGTAATATACTCACCCGTATTTACACACACTTCCACTTACATGCACTGCACTACCGCACCTGTCGGAAGACCGGTCGGGAGCTTAGAGCTTGTCCCGGCTGGGGCGGTGCCCTGCTACTGGGAGATACGTTGTTCGCGAAAGTCTCCGTAAGCCGGTGTAGGTCGCCGCCGGATTTCGGCAGCCAGCGAGGGAAGATCAACACCATCTCCCGTGATAAAACATGCACTACACGTACGGGACTGTTGACCTTAGCAGTTGACGCACCCGTAATCACTAATCAATCAATTAAGAGACCAGGGGAGGAAGGAAATAAGGGCGGATGTGGGGGACTGCCTAAATACAGGTTTCAAACAGGACAAATTTTTCAATACAGGCTAAATTTTATAATTGTTAATAAAAATTTAAATATATACAGCACTTTTGAATATTCCTTATAATAATTAACACCAAACATGACAGATATTCTCTAGATTCAAAACCCGCAGTTCGGAAACGACATTAAAAAACAAGATTCTTAAAATATGGCATGGTTTCCCTATTCTCATATGGATGCAAGTAAGCACAGGCAATTAATAAAATTTCTTATATTCCTACAGTTTACATTTCGTGAAGATAAAGAGATGTACAGAAGAATTAATTTGAAATACAGTACTTCCAAAAATGGAGTACGTTGTAAGATACACTGCCGCAGTAGCTATCATCTACAAAACGACGCAAAATAAATCTGCACTGGGTGTATGTTTGAAAAAAAACCTACTGACCGATATCAAATGTTTCACAACAAAGGGAGATGATCGTCACTTTTGATGTTACAGATGATCGCGAAATAAATGGTCTGAAAAATGGCAATGTGCCATTTACACCAGCTGTATCGCGGTTGAGTGCTACAGCCCCAATATTTTCGTCCAAGAATATTCAACTTGAGCATTTTGTAAATCGTTTCTGTAATGGACTCTTCGAATGGAATATATGCGTTTCTGAAGAGAATTTTCGTAATGGATGTTATGTATTGCAGGTAGAATTCAAAATATTCTACAAATTCATGGTTTGTAAGAGTGAGCACCACGGAATAACATTATTGACACCAGTAAAGAGGAGGTAGAATGTGGAACACTTAAGCCAAAGGGCAGCCTCTCTTGTACAAATGTGTGGTCACTCATTGCTACTAATTTGACAATAACGGCTGTGTTTCAATAACAATACGCACTTAAAGAACTCATTTTGTGTGCCCACTGCACATTAGGCTTTTTATTTTATGGGTCACTCGTATGGCTCATCGTGCTAGCTTTCAGTGAGGAAGTCCTGGGTTCGTTTCCAGGTAGGGGCAAAAATGAAGCTGCAGCTCTCTAAAGCAATCTTCTCAGTTCCTATGGCTGTGTGACGAAAGGAATGATTAGGCAGGTCACGGGACGAAAGGAATGATTAGATTAGATACGGTGATTGAAATGGGTTATGTTCGCTCTATGTCTCCCTTAACTGCAGGCGTGGGTAATAAGAAGTCGAGGCCCATGCCTGGTAACACCGCTAGCTGGCAAAAGTCGGATTCATCCGACCTTTAAATACTAAATACATACATCGTCTCTCACATACATTGTCGTCGACGGGATGAGTTCTTTCAACCCAGATCACTCCTGCTCGGGTCTACAAACGACCTCCGCCTCTCCGAAGGCCGCGTACAATTCAATACCGAGCTCTTATTGCGTAATGCATGGAGAACAATATTGATGCCGTCTACGCACGCGAGATATGGTAATGACTCAAGTCTTCTTTCATCCACAATACCTCATCGAAATAACGATCTCAGGTAACACGGTCTGCAAACTTATAAGCGATAATAATAATATATGATTTGTTACGAGTGGTTTTACCAAACGATCATTCTTCCTGAACAGATTTTAAAGACGTTTTCTGAAAATACAAAAAGTCTTATCTTTCTCACAGAGCAGAATCCAATTTTTATCGTCTTATGTATTTTGTGTTTTCTTCCGTTTTTACATTCTCGCCTTACTTCGTAAGAAGAGGTAGTATTGTAAATGTGCGCAGGAAAACGACAAATTTTCGACAAAAATCTCTTATTGCTGGGACCTGGTAAAAAAAGTGGATAAATCTTGTTCTTTTACACTTTTGGTGGTCAGAATCCATGTTTTGTGAGGCCTTGATATCGAAAAATCGAATGACGGTAAAAAGTTTGTCTGTGCGTCTGAGATTAACGCTAGTACATAAACAATGCAGATAATTTTCGTCAAAACTACTCCCGATCAGTCTGAACGAACTCAAGGCTCTGGGAGTTTCAAACGGATATTTTGATTTTTGAGGGTACTTTACAAGAATCCTCAACATAATTTTTAAAAATTTCTCCACAGTGACTTCACATTTTTTAATTAAACTTTGCCCAATAAAGTGACGTTTAAAAGAATGCCGCATATCTTATTTCGTTAATTCCAATTTTTCGAAAATTGCAAATGTTCGAAATTTTTAGGCGTCTTCCTACAACTACAGTATTGAAAATAGAGACTTTTCATTCTCTCCTTCTTAAACTCTCTATTACAAAGACATGAAATAAAGTTATGTACCATTTTCAGAAGTTATGAGTATTTTCGCGTAATTTCGTGAAATGTAGACAATTTTTAAACAAGTACTTTCTCAACAACTTCTCCAAATTTTGTTCTTAAATTTTTTCTTCGAACGTATCACACGGCAGTAAAACATTTTGGTAGTGCTATTATACGCGAAGTCTATTTATGTTTTAAAACTTACAAAAATGTAACTTTGCAAAAGATTGAATATTAGCATAGTTTTTGGTCTTAAATGAAAATTATCTCGTTCCAAAAATTATCTCGTTAAAAATGATCAGGGACAATTATTTGAAAATCAAAAAGTAGCTTTCGCATCATATCTGCTTGAAGTAAATACAAATTATTTAAAAAAACATATTCTCAAAAAATCCTCCAAATATTTTCTTTAATTTTTTGCCATGAATAGAGCAAGTGATGCATGCATAAAAGAAAAGCGTAGATCTCGGTTGCTTTCAACTCTCTTATTTTTTTTTGAAATTTGCAAAAGTTAGAACTAATGCTAAAAAGTATGTGCAGTTGTAGCTCATTTAAAATGTATTAATCCTTGTTCGACTTCTAAGTAATTCAAAGTGTTCCTTCGTATTAGTAATTTTCCCCCGTACGCTATGAATAAAACGCACACATATGAATGATACACACTTATTTGAAAAACACTAATTGTTTGCAACAAATTACAAGTCACTGGCAGTTACAGAGGCGAGCCATAGGGACGTAGCTTCCAGTAAAAAACGTACTGGATTAAAATTATTATTAAAGCATTATATTTATTCGTCAAAATATTATTGTTGTACATTGAATTTAACATCATTAACAAATAATTTATTTTAAAATAATAATAGACATTTTAAACAGCTAATAAAAGCAAGCTATAAATTATATAGTTTTACCAAATAAAAATAATTAAAAAATATTTTCTTCAACTTATCTAGCCTGCCCTCTGAACCTACCATATTTTCGGAAGCAATCTCAGAATATGGACGAGTTGAGCGGGGTAGATGGAGCCGGGAGAGCGGTTGCGGAGTGTAGAATCTCCAGATTAGGAAGTAGCGCATTGTTCTACGATGCGACTCGACGCCGATTTCGTTGATTTAATATCCACTTCTCGTGGAAGTTCATACACTGCGCTGTAGTCTGTGTGGACAATCACTAACGTACCCAAAACCAGCATTAATAAACTTTTTGAAACTCTTCAAAGTGCCATCAATTATCATAATTTCTCTTTGACTCGTGTGTGCTGAATGGCTGAGCTTTTGGTTGAGAGAATATTTTAATAGCGTCATTCAGTTGGCACTTCTCTCTCGGAGTGGCCATGTATTTCCTGGAACAAATTTCCCGGTTTTCTCGTGATTTTTTTATATTTTTTATGATAAGATTGGCAATTTAACACTACGTTTTTTAAATATTTAAGCTACCCTGTTACTAAATGGTCGCTATCTAATTTCGGTGAGACAAACAGCAAGTTAATATTTTTCCCCTAAGAGAAAGTGATCTAAAATAACACTACTACGGTTTTAACCATTAATATACAGTTTAATAGCCCCTTCAAAATGCTCTCTTACTTCCGACGATTCTTCTACAAATTCCCCGATTTCTCACTCACTTTTTAAAAGCAATGGAATCCAATTATACTCCTCGGCTTCCCATGTTTTGAACCCATGAAAATGGCCACCTCCATCCCTATCTAGAGACTGAACTGATTGATTTGATTGAATAGTTTCTGGGCGCGTCATCTGCGAACTCATTAGTTCCGTAAGTGTAGTGCATGCTTTATCGCGAGAGGCGATAGTGGTCTTCCTCCGCCGACTGATGGTGAGATTGATGGCGTTGATTGATGGCGAGATTCGGTGCCGACCTATTCGTCGGATAGCGGGGTTTTCTTTTATCGGATATCTCCCACCAACGGGTCATCGCCCCAGGCGGGACGCGTTCTAAGCTCCAGGTGGACAAGTCTGTGCGGAAGTGTAGTGCAAGTTAGTGTAAGTGAATGAAAGTACGAGGAAAGTACGAGGAGGGAAGGTAGGTCAAGGAAGGGGAAGCAAAGATCGCGCGCGGTCCGTAGCCCGTTTCTTAGGGTTTTGCTTCGGCAATCGGCTGCTGTTGACACGAGATAGAATGGAAAACTGTCAATCAGAGCAACCGGCCGCTAGAATATTTCTCCAAACAGCGGTTGAATTCAACCCAACTATCTATCTAACGTCGAAAATCCTGCCTCCATCGAGAGTGGAACCCACCGCTAGCGACTGTCCTGGAAGTGTGGGGGTGGGGGAGGCGCACCTGCTGGACGGTGCCGAGGTGCTCGACGACGAGCGCGAGGGCGGCGCTCGCCGCGCCCGCCACCACCACCGTCCNNCCTCCGCCCCCTCCGCCGCCGCCATCGCCCACAGCGGCCGGTAGAAGTCCTCCAGCGCCACCGCCGCCAGCGAGTTGAGCGCCGTCGACATCGAGCTGCGCACACACGCGCGCGCACAGGCCGCGTTCACACGCCAATTAGCTTTTTAAATCACTCTTCTTGTTTACCTTTTTTAAGGGACTATTAACATACTTGTCTCTCGGAAAAAGTTACAAATTTCTAGGTCATGTTAGGGTACCGATGATAATAATGTTTTGCTAATGAATATATGGTGGGAAATTTCATACACCAAAGTTTACACGCGTGACATTTACCCCCGATTTACAGATAACTCTTTATGCAATGATGTTTATCGGGAATGCCCGCAAGACAGACATTTATTTTACCCAAAACAGGCATACACAAAATGCATTTATTCTGACTAAAATAGAGGTTACAAAAACACAGAAAACGTTACAAAATCACCATTTAAAAGTAATTAATGTACAAAATTAATAATTAAAATGATTAGCAGTTTTATTCCAACTGTAAAATTTACATTCGCACTCACGCAAAAGGAAAATATATTTTATTTCTTATCTTGATTACACACGACCGGTACGACGACTACGAATTTAGTATTTAACGCACGACGCTGTCTCTACGAAATACTATTGTGGACCCCCTTTTAAATCTTCATGGGAATGGTATCAATGAAAACGGATTTGTAAATATCGTTCTTCACACTTGTGTAATCGCCAAAAGGGAAGATAGAACAAGAAGGATCCAAGAAGATTATATCATTTACAGTCAGCTACGTCGTCAACAAGTTTCCAAGGTCATACACAAAAATAAAATTAGATTTTTTGTGAGAGAACAAGTCTGTAAACATCAATGAAAAATGTAAAAAATCTTCACTGGTATCATCTTCGTTTTCCTTTTATATTTTTATCACCACAACCCGAAACTGAAACTACACGTCCATAGAAAAACAATACACGATCGTGCCTTCATTTGTCCATACTCGCAGTTATGTTTCCATCTTGATATAGATTGTTCTACGGAGTAGGGAAAAATAAAGAATACTGACGAAATGGCACAAATAAGGCAAAATGCTACAGAAACTAAAATAGGCAAAACAGGGGCAAAATGAACATCTACTAAAACAAGTCCAGAAGTACAATTAAGTGATTCCTATCGTTAAAAGTTATAAAATAGTAACATACTTAAAAGGCCTTCTGCCAAACGTCCGTGCACTGTATGTCAGGTACGTACTCGTTCTTACGCAGTTAAAAATATTTCATGAATATTATGGCAAACACCAATGTACAAAGAGTTGCCTACCCATCAGGGGCAAATGCCACATGCATAACTTCACGATATCTCCCGCAGTTTGTTCATCGGAAAAAACCGACCTTCTTCCCCACCCTTCCTAGGCCGAAGACAGGCCTTTCCAACGGGATCGGTGATATTTTGAAGGGGGTCTGTAATGATCAAGGGGGCCATTGGGGGTCAATATCCAAATATGAACTGGCGCATTATCGATGTAATCCAGATCCTATTAATTACGAAAATAAAAATTAATTTAATTAATTGTTTTTTAATAGAAAACAACAAAACTATAATGAATTACAAATTTACATCTCTTCCTTTCTAACCGTTCATCCTTGGGAATTAAGGGATTTGAATGTTTAAAAAAATGCTAGAAATTATAGCTACTGTATGCGTTGTCAACTATACTGTTATCGCTCAAGAATGTTCTCTCCGCAATGTGCACTGGAGAAATGCGGCCAGATCTCTAAAAGCATTAAATGTTTTGTAACCTTTGAATTTCAATGAAGATTAGAAACTCAGCTACTCAAAAGCAGATACGTGTTATATAATTGAAAATCGATCTTTACGAGAATATTGAGGTAAGAAATCGTTATCTTTAAGGCATTATGTGCAAATTTTTGTGTCATGGATATGGATGCTGTGTATTATAATCAAACAGTGAGGAGGTCGAAAAAGAAAAGAATTCTCTTAAAAGGAGCCGATCATAGAGAAAGCTTGGGAATCCCTGACAAAGACGTTTGCTCTATTTATTTTTAGACCCTGAGTGATGTCCTTTGCCAGTGTTTGGACCTCAATGAATTCAAATCGCTGTTGAAAACGTTACAGTATCATTTGACAGTAAAAAAATAATACAGTTTTCAATGGTAGGCAAGAGCCACGGCCACAAATCAACATGTTTAAAAAAATACGTTAAGAAATAACAGATGTTCACAAAAAATCAAAAACTATATAATTAGATAATTAAAGACGTACCCATTCCAAAGAAGTTCCCATTCTGAAGTGCACACATTGAAATGAATAACGCAAGAATTATTCATTAAACGAAATTGATATTAAAAATGTAATCGGCTAAAGGGTTGAGTAAAAAGCTTAAATATTCCGTTAGAGACACGTCCTTTGGTCAATAATTTGCCTTTTTATACAGCTTGTTGCGACCTTTAACTATTTTCCTGGGTGTTCCGGGAAGTGGTGGCTGCTCGCGGCCGCTCAGCAAACTATTTGTCCCGACAAAACCTATTTTATTTTTATTTTTTGCTAAAAATGAGAATGAATGAAAATCAAATATTTCACACGGTATAGATATTTTATCTGGTCGAAAAAGATACTTCATGATCGACGATGTAAGAAAGATGCCTTCTTCTTGTTGTTAAACCATGAGTCGTCTTGAATAATAAAACACTGTCATTAGTTTGAATGCCTTTCGTATACGTTTTAATATGTGTCCATCTCTTAAGATGGAATTTCGTTTGGAAGGTATTTAAGTATTTAATTATGTGGGTTTTAATTATATGGTTTTTAATTTATTTGTATGAGATTTTGTCTACATGTTTTTACTGAATCTTCTTCTGAATATGACCTCTAAATACTTTTTCTGAATATGACAGAACTTGAGCTGAGAAAATTTGAATTACAAGTCACCAAATAGCGTCACACTTAAGTAAGTGGAGAAGGGCTCAGAAGTGCTGGAAAACAAATCTCAGTGACGCACTTCGCCCACAGCTCACGAGACAAAGGCGTTTTTCATACATACTAGCGCTGAGACTCATTGATAATTTGACCCTCTTTACGTGTCCTCTATGTTATCGTCTCTTTCTGGAACATCATTTCGTGATCTAAAATGTATTCGAGATAATACAGACTTGACTTTTCTAGTAAAATGTGTAATCAAGTAAGACACGACTAAAATGGCTACGTGAAACCAACATATCTTCAATGGTTTTGGTGGCAAAATTTTAGTGGTCAAAGTAGTTTTGTACAGGGTATTATTGTCCGTACAAAGAACAGAGTGATTCACAGTTCTGCTACTGGCGTATTCTGCTACTGGTAATATTTTTACTCCCCCGCTTGTAACATGTTATGAATCTATGGTGTAAAATAGGTCTAGGTTCTTCAGAAAACATCTGATTCAAAATTATTTTTTCCTGTAATTCTGACAATGGCAAAAACGTGGGATAAACAATAAGAACCGAGACATTTCGCTTTCAGAATGCTTTCCATCTCACAGAACGGTTAGAAACAATAAACAAAAAAAATATATTTTCATTTTCAGTGTAGACATATTTTTTAGGTAAATTGTCATTTTTTCTAAATAAATGCCTGGGTTGAAAACAAATGACGAAGATTCAGATAAGTTACTCGATAAGAACATGAAGCCAAGCATAAATCACCCTCATTAATTTTCTTTGTTTCCTAGGTTGCACGCTGCGCGAGCGGGGGGGGGGGATAGAGCAGGGAGGCGGCGCGGCTCGGCGTACCTGAGGGCGGCGCTGAAGATGGCCGCCACGAAGAGGCCCGGCAGCCCCGGCCACGCGCCCACCGTGCGCGCCACCAGCAGCGGCAGCAGCTGGTCCGGCCGCTGCACCAACTGCGCACCCACACGAACTTTGCCAATTCAACATGGCGGTGGCAGGAGCATGTAGCTTTCAATTGGCGACCAGCATTTAGCCGAGTTCGATTTTTATTCCCCAGTATTGTTAGCCCTGGGAGTATGGAAGATGAAATGATGATGATAATGAGGGGTGAAAGGACGACACACTCATGCAGACATACAGAAATACACCCATGCCCGAGGCGGGACTTGAACCCGCGATCCAAAACCACCAGGGCACTACTGACTTAGTGATCTTTGCCATCTGGTCGGCATTATTATTATTATTATTATTATTATTATTATTATTATTATTATTATACATTTCTTCTCGGTATTCGCCAGGTTATTATTTGACTTTGTTTGGGGTTAACAACCAAGACAAGTCAATTCATGTTTCATCGCAATGTAGAAATTTTTTGGACAATCATACATGTGTTTAAGATGATACATTTTTGTATACTTTGGTATTTGGTTATAAATTTTGGTATTTGATTAAGTTTCACATTGTTATGGATGTTATTACATCTAGGACGCAATTGCAAAAGGAATAATATGAACTTTTTGGAGAAGCCATAGTTCCTTGAGTTCTGCTGCCAGTTCTGTGTACTTTTTTTTTATTTTTTCTGCATGTGCGTTGTGAAGATTTTCTGTTTATGGAATAGTGATGTCAATCAGGTAACCAATCTTTTACCATTTATCTACGAAAGGTATGTCTGGTCTGTTACGATGAATGTGTTTATCTGTGATAATTTCTCTGTCATAGAATTTTTCACTTGAATTTTGAAGTGTTTCGAGAACATATTTGTAATATGATCAAATAATTTGTGGCAGTTTAGATTTCGTCACCAAGAATATTTGTTTCCTGACAGTCAGACCTGAAACATTAAATTTTACTAAACTAAAAGCTTTACTCAAAATTTCTATTCCAAAAAATACGAGAATGTACGAGGAAGTGAATTAGAAAATGCCGTGATTAGGTTCTAGTTTATGAAGAAATATCTATCCCAAAAGTCCAAATATCGTGGCAAACGGATGACTCGAATTAACTGATCGATTGAACTAATGTGATAGTGTTTAATTAATATGTAATCTGGGTCCAAGTGCGAAAGAAAATTTACGTATACAATACGAGGCAGCAACTGAAGTAGTTTAAAATAGACGATTTCTGTATTTCTTAGAAGGTCCTTCATGATTGAACATTTATCACGTGACAATAAAAATAAAATAATTCCCCGTGAAAGCCCAACGTAGATGTCATGTAGATATGCGTGGTCGCGGCACTCACCCGCGAGGAGATGGGATCGCAGTCGTGGAAGAAGGCGTACAGCAGCAGGCCGCAGTAGCAGCACAGGAGCACAATGGCGCCCGCGCCCGCTGCGAACAGGGCGGCGGCGCTGCCGGAAACAGAGCGACAGTGAAGGAGTGGATCAAGCAGTGTTCAAGCGCACTCCTTCACACGCCGCCACTCAGCAGCGCTTCCGAGTGGCGCGTCTGCTGGCAAAGCATTGGTTTAAACGGCAGTATTCACACGAGCGGCATAGTCGCGCTGCTGTGGCGATCGAGGGCAAAGACTGCCTTCACACGAAGCCATTCAGTGACGCCACCGAGAAGCGGTAGACCCCTTCAGAAAGTCATCGCCAACCGCCACTGACCGCGCGAGAGAGGAAGGTTTTGTGAGTTACACTGCTGTGGGCTCAGGCAATCTAAAAGTAACCAACAGGCAAAAACCAGTTCAGTAACGCGTCTTCTGTCGACTTGTGTCATTTAGAACAAATTTCCGATGGCGGTGGCGCGGGCGAGCGTCTGCGCTGCTTGTGGCGGGAGTTCGGGTCCCTTTACACCGCGCCACTCAGCAGCGTTTCCGAGTGGCTCGTCTGCTGGCAAATCATTGGTTTAAATAGCGGTCCCCTTCCCTCGAGTGGCCTAGTCGCGCTGCTGTTGCGCTCGGTGGCGGATATTACCAGATGCTTTATTACTCACTATTATTAACCGCTTTGATAGTAAACATGATGTGTTTCTGCATAAATTACGCAGCATTTTTACTTTCCCTTGGTTGATCGACGTCTGCAATCTTCGCGACGTAAATTCAAGGCCCGTCAGCTCACTATACATTTAAACTTCGAATTTCACTTAAGATTTACGTTTCCCTAATTTAATGGGTACTGTGGTTACGTAACGTATATCACGACATACTGAACACTTCCATCAGGTTTAAAACGAGTAATATTTTTAAAAATTCCGGAATTCAAACTACACGCGTCTGATTACTTCCCGAGCGTACTAGTCATTTCCAGGTGCCCTAGTACACTCCCAAACATGACGGAACACCAGTCGGGAGCTTAGAACATGTCCCGGCTGGAGCGGTGCCCCGCTAGTGGGAGACACCTAGTTGGGGAACATGCCCGGAAACCAACTAGGTACAACATGCACTACACTTGCGGGACTAATGGACATAACCGTGTCAGAGCCCTGAATCACTAATCATTCAATCAGTCAGTAAAGATAAACTGTCACTCACATCCTGGCGCTGCGCAGCGTGGGGAGGGCGAGGTAGCGCTGTGCCTGGTTCTGGTTGACGGCGTTGGCCTGCAGCCAGTAGGCGCCTCCGCCCAGCAGCACCGCCCACACCGAGTGCCGCACCGTCGGGTCCACGCTCCACCTGGAGGGCGAGGCATTCAAAATGTAACGCACTCACCGATATGTGCCAGTTCGGTCGGTGCAGGTTTCCGGACGTCGTGCTTGGAATCTACAACATAATTTCCTGCGACCTCCTGATTGTATCTCAAAGTTTGAGCAAGATAAAATTGTTTGCCCTTTGCACATATTGACTAGGGGGAGGAATTTAATGAAATGTAATTTTTTTCTTTTTTCTTTAGAACAATGCCGTTTAGTATAGAAATTCATTTTATGTTAAGACAAAACGAAATGACCCATTTTTTCTTGTGCTGATTTCATCGATTTTAATCTTATTTTAACGTTACTTGCATCAAACAATATTTACAAACGTTCACCACAGAATTCGTGAGAAGCATATTCCATTTCTTTGCTCATAAATTGTAATTTTATGTAAATTTATCTCTACTACACATTAAACGCTATGAGTTATCTCAGATACATGTAGAAATTAATTCAATTAATGAATAGGGGGAAGAGGAATTTCGTTTGTTTGAAATAAGGGTCCCACTGGGCTGGACTGCCCCAGGCCGCTGGTTTTGTCTGCGCCGGCTACTCACTGCGGCGGGTCGAGGCGTCCTCCGTCGCGGGCGCGGCTCCACACGGCGCCGAAGCCGCCGGCGTCAGCGGTGCCCTTGGCGGCCACCAGCAGCACCCCGACCACCATGGCCACCGTCTGCGCCACGTCCGCCCACACCACGGCGCGCAGCCCGCCCTGCGCGCGGCACGCGCTTGCTTGCTCAGCTGCTTTGCACCAACCACTGTGTTTTCCCGCATTGGTAACCCCTTTTGATCGTTCTATACCATCGCGACTCTTTCAGCTGTCTCTGAACATCTGCTAAATTTCGTATACTTTATTACAATATACATATCTCTTGCTTTTGCCACGTCATAACATCGCCTTTTGTTAAATATTTCTTTCAAATCCTATTTCTATTAGCCAACAATCATAAAATGCGATATTGCCCTCGATTATTAAAATTTTCTCCACCGTGAGGGGATAGTGGCCAAAGGCGCCCCTGGGGGCAGTGGGGGAACGGTGGAAGGCGACGAGGGCGGTGAGGGCGGTGAGGGCGGTGAGGGCGGTGAGGGCGGTGAGGGCGGTGAGGGCGATGAGGGCGATGAAGGGCGGTGAAGGGTTGTGACAGAGGTGAGCGGTTGGGGCCGTTAGGGCGGTGGTGCGACGGTGCCAGTGAGTGGGAGAAGGTGGCTGTCCGAGTCACACGAGCCAGACGTCCACCTTTTTAATAGGCACTGTCCGATTCTCGGGGATAATAATTCGATTTAAACAGAGGATCTGTTGACGTAAATCAGCTGTTACGGTGTGCTATTGGAAGGTTGAACGTCACCGTAGTGACGTCGTTGCAGTGACGTTTATGCTCCCGTTTGGACGACGATTGGTAACAGCTGAACTGACAAAGGGCACTACAGCCGTAGTATAGGTAGCGTCGTTTTTCAACATACATTACTGTAGATATCAATTCACTCTCATTTATTAGCTATGTTTAAAAATAAAATTCCTCGAAATTACCTTTGTATATGAGAAACATTGTTCAGGAAATAAAGAGTTTAATTTACTGCTTATTTAATTTTCACTTTATTACAATTATTATTATTATTATTATTATTATTATTATTATTATTATTAATCTGTACTTTTGAGGAATTTTGGACTCAAATACATTTTGTGTTTATCACATGTCCAACAACTACCAACATTCTGCAAGTTTTAATTAGCCATTTCTGGAACGAAATCAAGATTTGGAAATAAATTAATAAAAATAGACCAAATTAAACCTCGACCATTTTTACTCAAAGGATCTATTTAGAAAGAGGTATCTTAATCGCTCACTCAGCTTCACGTATTGAATTTAATACTGTTACACAAGAATGTAGAAAATATTCGAAAATGCACCTAACTATGGTCACTACTAGTTCTTTTACCCTGTTTATTTGAAAAGATACAATAAAACACGCTTTGTCATGTATTTATTTCTGGAAACGTGTTTTGAGTATTAATACTCACCACGCTCGTGTAGAAGATGCAGACGATAGAAACAACGGGCGTGATGATGTACACGGGAACACCAGTCACTGAAATAGAACATGCGGCTCAATATTTTGACTCATCGGTGAATCAAGATTAGAATCTTCCTAGAGATCATATTTTCCTTCTAAAACCATCTGAATCGTGTTTTGACTAAATAACTTGTTCTCTGCATTAATAAAATGTTAATAGATTAATGTTTTATTTCAATTAATTTGTTACAAAATATATAATACATAAAATGAATTTATTAACTTTATATAGCTACATCTCAAATAGTATAAATTTGAAAAGTTATTACAAAATTGCTTAATATAATTGAACATTGCAGACACAACAACCATGAATACACTAATATTAGTAAACTTTCAATGCAATTGACTCAGTCTAAAGATTTGCCCGAATGTTGACTTCTCTCTTACGGCGAAGGCCAAGGAGTATCAGAAAAAGTTGTCCGTGAAGGTATTCGTGTTCCGAACCACAGGTTCCTTGAAACGTTTTTATTGGACGTGGTTCTCGCTTTAATGGCAGGTTTTTCCTGCTGTTCCCGAACGCCCAATACTTCCCGCAAGAGACGAAAAAATATAAAATGAACGATCCCACCTTTTTTTCATTCATATAAAATCTGAAACTATATAATTCTTATATCTTCGATGATTTCTTTTTTCCAAAAACCCAAAAAAGTAGAAAAGTCTAAAAAACAAGCATATTTATTACAAGCATCGCCAAATTTTATATACAGACTGATTATGTATAGATTCTTGTGTAAAATAACGAGTTATATTAATTTCATTCAGCTGAATATCGTTTTAAAGGAGTAATATTAGATAATTAAAGTTATTATACGACCGTTAAAAATTAATAACTCGGTTTTATTGTTACACTGCGTCATTTTAAAATGCTACAAATAGAAAATAATTCAGAATTTCTTGCTCTCTTTAATTAATTGCATTGATGTATTGCATTGCATTAATAATTGTATTCAATGATGCTAATACAATTATGTTCAGTATAGAAATTAAGAAAATGCATTATTGCTGAGTTACAAAAATATAGTATATAAAGCATATTTTGCTAGAAAGCAAGCAAATGCATTTTTTAACTTTGCCAATCACTCGCGTTTACCTACAGAGAGTATGGTTTTTAAACAAGTTACACAGAAATTTTTACGTTTAAATGAAAGAAAAAAATTAGGATCGTGGCCTACATCCTAACCCCTGTAAAATAGGCCTGAAATGGCAGCGTATTTTATAACAAAAATTAAAATATAAAATTCATCTTTGCAATTAAGAGTTTCGGTTTTCTAAAATATTTTACAGAAAATTAAAGTGACAATATTTCAAAGAATATCAATATGAAGCGAAATAACTCTTCTGTAGCTTCAGCAATAATACAAATCATTTCACTCGTGTTTTTGATTTAGTTATATTAAAATAAAATATCTCTAAATTGTCTTAAGGAATAATAAAACTGCGAACACACCTTGGTTGAGCGCCAGAGCAGGAATATACAAAACGATAGGAACCCACGCCAACTGCAACCAAACATCTAAAGTGTATCTTAAATTTCCAAGAACCAAAATATCATAATAACATTTTAGAAGCATATCCATTAAATGTGGCATTCTTAGACAACATTGTAGCATAAGAAATGAAACGAACGTAAGTACAGCAAAAGCAAAATTTATTGAAAACATGTAGTGGAATTAACTGTTAAAACTGTTAAAAAAACATGTAGTGAATAAAATATATAAGAGCAATTTTTTTCTTTCTATTCGACATCTAACCAATCAAATAGTAATACTGGATTCCTTCATTATACTTCCAGAATACATTTTTTTTATTTGGCCCTGATACACAACTGCAAGTTCGACCAGTCTGTCGCTGAGCATTGCAGGTTGATTGGGAAGGCGACTTACGTTGCCGACTACAAAGAGCACCGACCCCAGCAGCCGCACTCTTCTGTCGAAGCGCATCTCCAGATACTGCAGGGGCGGCGCTTAGAGGCAGGCGGAGAGGGCGGCGGAGCACACGGCGCATGCAACAGAGAGGGCATTGCTCTAGCAAGGAGGAGGAGGAGCAAGGAGGGGGAGGAGTAATAAGAATTAGAATGAAGGTAGAGATAATTAAAGATGTTGTCATTGCCAACAATATTTTTTAATTCAATAGCAGCTTTCGATGGCTTAGCCATCGAAAGCTGCTATTGAATTAAAAAAAAAATATTGTTGGCAATGACAACATCTTTAATAATTTTAAAAATGCCAAAGATATCTTACCACAACACCTATATATGAAGGTAGAGAGCCTAATTCACGCTTCCGCGGACGTCATCTACGCTCTATTGGAGGGGAAATTGAACTCAACCCTACCACATGGAAGGCTCCTTGTCAAATTTCAACCGCCTAATAATGCTAAACACAACCTTAGTAGTCCTCCAACTTCGGTTTCTAATATAAACCTATTATTACCAGTGGCGCACCTAAAGTAAAAGGGCTTCAGACTTCCCCAGCAGCCGATGCCTCATAGTATTCACACACAAATTTTCTGTTCTAACGAAAACCATTCAATTTCTCAATAGAGTACGTTATAAATATCGATAAATTAAAAAAAAACAAATTTTAAATTCAATATACATGATTTTTTAATAAAATATCACGTAGGCTGCACACAACACTAATAGTCATTCCTTTAAAAAAATCGTGACTGTACCACTGGTTGTTATCCTAAATAAACGCATTTAAAAATATTTCTTTAAAAATTGTCCCTTGGAGCCTCCCTTGGAACACTGACAAATATTTGAATATAGAAGTTCAATTACAGTGTCCTTGTAATAGTTAACTTGTGAAGTACTTGAAACACTTCAATGATGCATTTCTTGCATTTTTTAAATGGTAGCGTCGAGTCCTTATATTATACTGCGATTTATTTACAGCTGCCTCTGATAGGTCATCACTTGCTACAAGTGTCATCGGAAGCTTACACATCTAAAATAATAGTAACACCAATTATTATTTATTTAGTTTAGTCGGTTCTTTGCAGAACACTTCTTGGAAAGTTGAATCACTACAGTGACGTCACAGAAAGTATAACGAAATAAAAAAAAGTTTTACGTTTAAATGAAGGGAAAAAAGTAGGATCGTGGCCTACATCCTAACCCCTGTAAAATAGGCCTCAAATGGCAGCGTATTTTGTAACAAAAATTAAAAGATAAGATTCATCTTTGCAAATAAGAGTTTCGGTTTTCTAAAATATTTTACAGAATATTTAAGTGACAATATTTCAAGAATATCAATATGAAGCGAAATAACCCTTCTGTAGCTTCAGCAATAATACAAATCATTTCACGATTGCATTCCACTCGAACAGCCGATTTACGTCGGAGGCACCTCTAAACAAATCCACGAATCAGTTCCACTGGAATCGGTTCGCGAGCTGCGTGCGCACCTCGTAGGCGGAGGTGAGGCGCAGCCGGTGCAGCGTGGGCAGGAAGACGAGCGCGTGCAGCGCCGCCGCCAGCGCCAGCCCCAGCGCCGCCAGCGCGAAGTCGCCGCCGAACACGTACACCTCGGCCGGCGCGCCCAGCAGCGTCACGCCCGACACGTAGCTGCGCACGCGCACACTCAGGACCACACGCCCTGGATCCATTGCGCGGACCGTTCCGCCATTGTATTACGACCAGCTGAAGTTCGATTTGTGACGTTTGGGAACCATTTACTCAAAGCCAATCCTAAAGCAGTCGAAACTCTCTGTAATGCTCCCGACTCTCATAATTTATACTTAACTTCTGAATGCTGCTTGGTGGGGCTATCGGGAGAAAATATTTATTGGCGGTCGTCGTTCGGGTTGCGCAATTCTCCGTACCTAGGGACTCTACACACGTCTCTTAATATCCATTCCTTGCGAACGGAGAGAAAGCTACAGCTTCATGGACTGAAGGCCGCTGCGCTTCTTTTAGAGATATATATGAGGAAGAAAACGAAAATTAAAGCATAATCGAATAATATCTAATTGATATTATTACATTTCGATTAACTGTTCTGAATTAATCCATTAATCTAATATTATCTATAAACTTTTTTGCATGTTTTATTTAAAAAGAGTGTATGTTTAAATTATTAGTTTTCAGTTTGTAAGTTTTAAGCCAAAATAAGCTGAAACAAAAGTTAATTTATTCAGCAAAAAATGTAATAGAATATGATTATGAGTACGAGAAAAGTTTTCACTGATTTGTTTCGTTTAAATTGATTCATTTAAATTTTTTAAAATTTAACTTAACATTCTATTTTCATGAAAACGGTAAAAGGGTTATTATTATCTAAAATAACAATAACACCAATAATTATAATCTATTTAGTGTAGTCGGTTTCGTACAGAACACTTTTTGGAAAGTTGTAAATTGTCTATTTCTTATTTCGTTACGAATATTCTGTCTGAATATCAAAACAAATATAGTAACCATTCATTTGATCAATTTTGTTGATATGAACCAACCCCTATTGTTACTCTCTGTAGACAGAGGGAGGTAGTACACAAACGTCAATTCCTTTGCGTTTGTGTGAAGTTTGTGTCATATTTTGTAAAAATGAAAATTAGTATTTGCCTTTAAAGCTTAACCAAAGTAATTGTAAATATTCATAGGTCGATAAATTAATCGGTGAAAAACTAATCGATTTCAATTTTTCGATTAAAAGTGTTACATAATAGATTGTTGTACTAGTCGCAATTAAATCGACCACCGCTAACATGCAGATATTGTAGTTTGTATTGTACACCAGGTCATTTGAATGTATGATTTTGTACTGCTGTACACACACAAACATATATATACACTTCGCACAGCGGGCTATCAAAACCGTACATTGTCATGTTGGTCCATGATCTACCAAGTACATCCACAAAATCATTAAAATATGAAGGGCCATCTAGGAATAGTTAGTAGTCGAATAGGCTAGCTTAGTTTTCAATTTTATTTATGAATATTATCATACGTACGTATAGTATATTCTCAACAGATCGAGCCTGTAGAACAAAGTTTTTGTTTTGTTTTCCTTTGCTTTCAATAAAAATGTTATACACCTCAGACCTTGAACCACGTATAAGATATTCATACCAGGGGGATACTTGGATCGTATATGGGCTCATTCGAGTATGAACGCCTTGTGACACTTCGTATCCGAAAGACGGACTAAACATCCATGTGCAGCATGGGGGTTTGACCCCTTGTCCGAAGGTTCCGAGGCGATGAATCGGAGCGCTGTTTTATCTCCTCGGCCAGCCAAACCGGACTTACAGTCAATTTTATGTTTTTTAAAACATGAAATCTTTAGATTTCCTGCAAAACATTAATACGAAAAACGACCTTACATTTCCATCTAACGTACATAGTAAGAGCGTAGGCTTCCGCGACCGGAGTCAGTATTTACTTGGCTGTTCGGGTGCCGCCGCGTCCATGGCAAAGGTGCCGACGTTTCCGTCGCCATTCTACGACCTTCTTCGGTCGCAGAATGGCGACCCGGACAGCCTAGTAAATTCTAACGTACATAGATCCCCGATATTCCGGATTTCTACTTTAATTCAAAGCAACAAACAGTTTGCTTTCAAAAGAATGAGGCGGCCAAAATAAAGCGAAGTAAACATGCTTATAAAATCTGTGACGCTTTGACTCTTTTAAGATCAGGGAGTTATACAATCTATTATTATTCTTCCAACAAATCGTTATTATACTAAAAAAGTACACATTGTGTTCAAATTATGCACTGTCAACGTAAAGTATTTTTCTCCTCCCGACACGTACTAATTGCTCACCCGCTTCTCGTTCAAGGCCGCTTCAGAAAAAGACCTAAGGCCCCTTGCTACGATTGGCGCTCGCTTTCTTTCGGAATGTAACTGTCGCAACAAGAAAATCTCAGGCGTGAATGGCAGCTCAGACATATTCTCATTAATGTGTCCTTAAATGGATCTCTAATGGTTACATACTTATTTCCGAATAAAAAAAGTGCAATGCTTATGACGTTTAGGGATATGGGTCGAAACGTTATTAATTCCTTCCAAAAAAGAATTCGTAAATTGTAGGGACACCAAAACAGAACGAGTAAAGAACGATGGCCCCAAACGCTCTTGGAGAGGTCACACGTTTGAGTGGCAGCAAGGGATTGGTGGACCAGCAGTAAAAATGACACAATAAGGCCTTCGAAAAAGCAGTACGCTCATTTCTCAAGAACAACAAATAAAATATTTGCGTAGAACACTACAATAAATTAAATATTTGGACAAAAGCTGTGTACACTAATTCTGCACAAACATAGGATAGGATTTGTGCGGAAAAACGGCTCCTTAAATAACAAAAATACCTGAAGAATTGCAGTTGTATAACGCAACATGTGAATAGCAAATATTTAATAAGGATATGTTCTTGTTCGGAGCCTTGCTATCGTCAGCGGATGTCAGCTACGTCGTAAACAGTGATTTACTGAGTGCGAGAATTATTCGGTATGCGCATTATGAGAATAGGCAGAATAACGTAATTATATGTTTGCATTTTTAATGCAAATCATAATTTTTCATTGCTCTGGGCTTTGCCCGTGTTCCTGGGTATGTAACGAAACCGTTGACACCTCTCACATGGCCTTAGGCTGCTTAGTTTTTCTCAATTTCTGAGCGCATTCGAAATTAGTATTTAGGGCTCAGCAACAGTAGAAATTCTGCTGAAGTAAACCAATGTTTTTCCAAAACGTAGCACAGACACTGCTTAAAGTAACAAATAAAATTCTTGTATAACAGGTTTATGTACTCCCTTATCAATTTTTTTCAAAAAAATAATGTGTACGAATAGTGCAGTACCATCGTGTAGTATAGTAGGATAAACCGTTTTTTTATATTCCAAGAATATCAATTTGCTGCATAAGGTATAATGTGAAAAGAAAATACTTCATGGTGGACAGCCTTTTCCTTTATTTCTTGCTGTCGCGTGATAACAGCTGTGTTCTAAGTAGACGAACTAAGTTTGAGAATCACGTCGGTACACGCAGAATGAGAATAGTTACAGAAACACAAACAATAATTTGCATTTTTCAGACAAACTTGAAAAACTTCGTCATTTTTGTACTTTGACCGACATCCTGGGTATCTACCGAAACCACAGACTCTTTTCACATGGCCAAAAGCTGCTTAGTTTTCTTTCAATTTCTGCGCGCGTACGAAATTAGGAACGTCGATTTCTTGCCCGCGCGCGCGTCGCCGACGCTCGTGAGTCACCGGCGAGCGAGCGGCTGCGCAATAGAGCACTCGGGAGGCCCGGGGCCTAATACGCCACTTCCGGCGCGCGGGCGGGCACGCGAACTTCGTCCTGCGCCGCCAGCGCGCGGCCTGCCGCTAGATGGCAGCGCCCGCGGGCGCCTCCCCGTTCCGTCGTCAACCGCTGAACTCTTCCTTGCAGTACAATCTATTTAGTCGTGCACTTGACATAAATCATTTGCGTCAAATCGTTGCTGTTTCGTCCAATCGGGAGCTTAAATGTCACTACAGTGACGTCACTACGGGGACGTTCAAGTTCCCCGACGAAATTAATGTTATCTGGTGGCTCAGAGCGAAGTCTTTCGAGCTCGCCTTTCGCCACGGAGGCCCGGGTTCGAATCCCGGAGACTCTCATGTGAAATTACGCCCGAAATCAGTTGGAAAGTCAGGGTCATCTAAAATACCAAGACTACCTCCAATGCATGCAGATAATCTTGAGCGTGCTTCTCGCAAGTGTTTCAAACAATCAACTGGTTCAACAAGTAAATTCGAACATTGGGGCGCATTTCAGATGAAATAAGTCGAACAATTTCGTTCGCTACCGAACCACTACGAGCGAAATCGTCCGACTTATTCCATTCGAAGAGCACCAGAATGTTGAGCCCGAAGTCGTCCGAATATCCTCATAATTCCCCAGTTCATTGTTGAATCATTTCCGAGGAGCATGTTCAAGATCATCTATACTATTGAAAGTAGTCTTCGTTTTGCAGATGACATTGACTCTCCAGCTGATTTCGGCGTAATGGAAATCGGTTTTCTCTCGATTGGCCCGAGAATGAACATTTGCGTTGCTCATTACTAGAAACTTAACAGAGTTAAGTACTTCCAGCTCCAGAAACATTTGGCGAGATGCAATGGACTATATACGATCTAGAGTAGCCAAAAGTGAAAAGGAATTAAGTGGGAAGCCGGTGTCAGGGAAAACTGATCGCGGGATGCAATCGGCGATATCGGCGTTCGCGTGTGTAAATGTTTAAAAACTGAGCTTAACCCAGAGCTCGAACTGACTATTTTCTCCACATGGGGATATTCAGGGGTATTTTCAGGAGAGGACAATGGATAGTCATTTGGATATCTATATTTCAGTACTACATCAAAATGTGGAAGTCTTACATACGACACCTAATATGAATCTATCCTAGAAAATATTTTGGGTGTATATTAGAACTTGTTCATTAGGAGACAATAAACTTTTTAGAAGCACCGATCCCCGGCATCCCTCTGTCAATTCGCTTCCTGGCTCAACGAGAGAAGATTATAGTGAAAGGAATTACGTCCTTGGAAAAAGATTCTTCAAGCTGTAGCTCAGCTGTGCACAACCAGTGACCCGCGGTCGTCAAACGCAGAATAAT